GATGGCGGCTCTTTTCCTTTTCCTCCGTCTAGCTTCTCCTTCCTCGTTTTTCGGGGCTTCTTTTGAGATTCCCTTATCTTCGAGGTTGATTTCGCGGACGTGTTCGTCTTCGGAATATCTGGCTTGGCGTTGTCACCCTTACTCGCAGGATTCTCACTTGAGATTCCTTTGAGTGAAGTATGGCTTGGCTTCGACTGTGTATTAGAAGACGGGGAGCTCTTTTTCTTCTTAGGTTTATTCTCAGTTGTCAACTCCTCGGGAGACCTGATCCTTTTTGCCTCAGATCTTGTGAGAGAGTTCGATTTTTCCTTTGGAGTGTCGTGGGATTGACTAACTATGATTTCCTGAAGCATCTTTTTCAACTTCCTCCTCTGTGCTCCAGAAAGTCTTTTCTTAGTAATAGGTAGTTTAGCTATGCTATCACTCACCTCTTTCACCATTTGCTCTACTTCATCCTTTTTGGGATTTGCTATAATGGTATTATTTTTATTATCATCTGAGGATTCAGAGTCGGAACCCTCACCTATATTTAAAGGCTGAGGTAGCTTAGAGCTCTCTCCGAGTACATCCTTCTCTTTCACCCCTATATTTTTGCCAGCGGCATGCTGTACACTTGACGCATTGTCCGCCACGGAGGCCAAGGTACCCACCTCCGTAGTAGTATTCTGCTCACGATTGCAGGATGACGACGACACGTGACTCGCGAGTAGATCAACACTTGCCGCCGGTACTGGGTTATTTAGGCCCTGCACCGTAACTTTTATCTTTTTATTTTTATTTTCCATATTTGTTTTTTTTTTCCAGTTTTTTGGTCCGCGGGGAATATAATATTCCCAGGTGGTGGACAATCTGCCCTCCCTCAGCTTAAGTGAAATTAAAGCTGGGAGAGGACAGATGGTCCATCACCACCCCCTATCCGCCACCCGGGGACGCGCTCGGTAGGAAAAATCTGGAAAACTCCCCCGAGTAGTCTATAGTTAAGTCTATAGTCTAGTCTATAGTTCCTTCAAACCTAAGTAATAAGTTAGTACAATTCTAAAATTTAAATTTTCCATGCCTGGTAAGTGCCATCAAGAAAATATGGTAAATACGTTTGTTTACATCCATCCTCTTGGTGTGTTTTTTGTTGCAGGCAATTTCCATAATCCTATTTACGATTATTTTTTTTTTTTTTTTTTTTTTTTTTTGTTTATTTTTATTGTTTAAAATTCAATTCTTCAAGTACTATTCGATTTTATTGAGTTTTTTTGTGGTTGTTTTCCTACATGTTATTGTAGTTGCTTGCTTGCTTTTATGTTTATTTGGTTATAATAACATGTTTAAAGACACAACAAACAAACAATTTGATTTGAATTGTACTTAAATGACTTTAGGTTAAATTAAGAAAGAATTATTTAAATTTTTAGGTTTTAAAATAAACAAGTAGTAAATGTAAATGTATATCTGAAAAAAGTAAAAGTTATTACTTGTTAACTATCTTCAGATAATAAGGTAACAGATGAAGGAATGAAGAATGTAATTTGTAAATAAAAGGTAAAGTTTAAAAAAGAATATTTTGACTTCTCCAGTATTTGTATGAATTATTTTTAAAATCACTGTATATCTAACAAATTATGCACATTCTGTATGTGTGTACATTTTTCTTCTATAATTTTTTTTAATCCGACTAAAAATCAATTTAGATTTATAAGGTTAATTTAACACAAACAAACGCACAAATAATCTATTTATAATTTTTTTTTCAAATATTTATACTCTACTTTCTATTTTGAGCTTTTGAGTGTCTGTGTTTGTTTATTGAAATGTTTAAATTTTAAATCTATATTTAATCTTCATAAGTGCCTCTTTCACAAATGGCATTTGATTTTAAAGGCAATTTATATTATTTGCACTTCGATTTATTAAATTGAAATATAATAAATTTATCAGTGAAAATTTTCTTTTGCATTTGTGTGAAATTGGAAAAAGGACAAATGATTTATTTCATTTTAATATTATTAAAATGTTTTGGTTCGCGAAGTTTTTAAAGAATTGATTTTTAACAGAAATACAGCCAGACGGACAGACAGACAAACAATAATCGACACCGCTTTCTATCAGGAGCCATTTATAGGATCGGAAAATTATAATTGTGGAATTTATAAACGGAAAGACAACATCTTCTCATTCTCAATTCCTTTCCAAAAGTTAGTCAGTTAGGTAGTTAGTTGGTTGGTTGGTTGGTTGGTTAGTTAGTTAGTTGGTTAGTTGGTTAGTTGGTTAGTTAGTTAGTTAGTTAGTTAGTTAGTTAGTAGTTAGTTAGTTAGTAGTTAGTTAGTTTAGTTAGTTAGTTAGTTAGTTAGTTAGTTAGTTAGTTAGTTAGTTAGTAGTTTAGTTAGTTAGTTAGTTAGTTAGTTAGTTAGTTAGTTAGTTAGTTAGGTTAGTTAGTTAGTTAGTTAGTAGTAGTTAGTTAGTTAGTTTAGTTAGTTAGTTAGTTAGTTAGTTAGTAGTTAGTAGTTAGTTAGTTAGTTAGTTAGTAGTTAGTTAGTTAGTTAGTTAGTTAGTTAGTTAGTTAGTTAGTTAGTTAGTTAGTTAGTTAGTTAGTTAGTTAGTTAGTTAGTTAGTAGTAGTAGTTAGTTAGTTAGTTAGTTAGTTAGTTAGTTAGTTAGTTAGTTAGTTAGTTAGTTAGTTAGTAGTTAGTTAGTTAGTTAGTTAGTTAGTTAGTTAGTTAGTTAGTAGTTAGTTAGTTAGTTAGTTAGTTAGTAGTTAGTTAGTTAGTTAGTTAGTTAGTTAGTTAGTTAGTTAGTTAGTTAGTTAGTTAGTTAGTTAGTTAGTTAGTTAGTTAGTTAGTTAGTTAGTTAGTTAGTTAGTTAGTAGTTAGTTAGTTAGTTAGTTAGTTAGTTAGTTAGTTAGTTAGTAGTTAGTTAGTTAGTTAGTTAGTTAGTTAGTAGTTAGTTAGTAGTTAGTTAGTTAGTTAGTTAGTTAGTTAGTTAGTTAGTTAGTTAGTTAGTTAGTTAGTTAGTTAGTTAGTTAGTTAGTTAGTTAGTTAGTTAGTTAGTTAGTTAGTTAGTTAGTTAGTTAGTTAGTTAGTTAGTAGTTAGTTAGTTAGTTAGTTAGTTAGTTAGTTAGTTAGTAGTTAGTTAGTTAGTTAGTTAGTTAGTTAGTTAGTTAGTTAGTTAGTTAGTTAGTTATAGTTAGTTAGTTAGTTAGTTAGTTAGTTAGTTAGTTAGTTAGTTAGTAGTTAGTTAGTTAGTTAGTTAGTTAGTTAGTTAGTTAGTTAGTTAGTTAGTTAGTTAGTTAGTTAGTAGTTAGTTAGTTAGTTAGTTAGTTAGTTAGTTAGTTAGTTAGTTAGTTAGTTAGTTAGTTAGTTAGTAGTTAGTTAGTTAGTTAGTTAGTTAGTTATAGTTAGTTAGTAGTTAGTTAGTTAGTTAGTTAGTTAGTAGTTCGTTAGTTAGTAGTTAGTTAGTTAGTTAGTTAGTTAGTTAGTTAGTTAGTTAGTTAGTTAGTTAGTTAGTTAGTTTAGTAGTTAGTTAGTTAGTAGTTAGTTAGTTAGTTAGTTAGTAGTTAGTTAGTTAGTAGTTAGTTAGTTAGTTAGTTAGTTAGTTAGTTAGTTAGTTAGTTAGTTAGTTAGTTAGTTAGTTAGTTAGTTAGTTAGTTAGTTAGTAGTTAGTTAGTTAGTTAGTTAGTTAGTTAGTTAGTTAGTTAGTTAGTTAGTTAGTTAGTTAGTTAGTTAGTTAGTTAGTTAGTTAGTTAGTTAGTTAGTTAGTTAGTTAGTTAGTTAGTTAGTTAGTTAGTTAGTTAGTTAGTTAGTAGTTAGTTAGTTAGTTAGTTAGTTAGTTAGTTAGTTAGTTAGTTAGTTAGTTAGTTAGTTAGTTAGTTAGTTAGTTAGTTAGTTAGTTAGTTAGTTAGTTAGTTAGTTAGTTAGTTAGTTAGTTAGTTAGTTAGTTAGTTAGTAGTTAGTTAGTTAGTTAGTTAGTTAGTTAGTTAGTTAGTTAGTTAGTTAGTTAGTTAGTTAGTTAGTTAGTTAGTTAGTTAGTTAGTTAGTTAGTTAGTTAGTTAGTTAGTTAGTTAGTTAGTTAGTTAGTTAGTTAGTTAGTTAGTTAGTTAGTTAGTTAGTAGTTAGTAGTTAGTTAGTTAGTTAGTTAGTTAGTTAGTAGTTAGTTAGTTAGTTAGTTAGTTAGTTAGTTAGTTAGTTAGTTAGTTAGTTAGTTAGTTAGTTAGTAGTTAGTTAGTTAGTTAGTTAGTAGTTAGTTAGTTAGTTAGTTAGTAGTTAGTTAGTTAGTTAGTTAGTTAGTTAGTTAGTTAGTTAGTTAGTTAGTAGTTAGTTAGTTAGTTAGTTAGTTAGTTAGTAGTTAGTTAGTTAGTTAGTTTGAAAGGAGGATGTACATATATACATCAAATCCGAAGAAATACACTTAGGCCTCTATCGGGCCTGTTGCGTGCTCCTTAACCAGTGCCTCAGGTGGGAATCGAACCCACCAACTCCGGTCTTCCAAACTAAAACACTAAATGCTAACTTACCGGAGGCCACTCCTTTCCAAATAAATACATGAGAAGTGTTGGAATGGAATTATCTTTAGTAAATATTCCTATTCAGTCCTACACAGAACTGCAAAATCTGACCCTAGGTGTCTATTAGAATATTAAAATCATTTTTTCTTTTTGTCTAGTCTCCAGTTTATGTTTAGAATATAAATTTCTCCCCTTTAAGTTAGTTATCTTTAAAATAATATCTATTTTCATAAAATTACGCTTTTTTAAATACTTCAGCATGATTTAAATTCAATTGCAGACATTTTACATTTCAATAAAATTGAATAGATTTCAATTATGTCTCGGTTTTATTACAACTCACTGACCCACTAAAAGAACTTAAACCCCTGAGATTGCAAAAAAGGGGAAACTAAAAACTACATTTATTTTTATTTAAAAATATAATTTCATTAAAATGTTATTAAAGTTGAATTTTATTTTCTTTTCTTTACATACATTTTTTTGCAACTGCACGTGCAATTTTCTAGTACGTCTAACAACAAGTTTGCCAACAGAGCCATTACAAACTTCTCACTCAACGGCAACAGCAGCGTCATCTTCAACATCATCAGCAGCAACACCAGAAATGCAAAATCCAACAATCCGTCAATACACAGGAGATTTCTTTGTTGAAACTGTTTCGCTCTTAAGTTCCCAAGAACGTGGTAGTTTTGTAACAAACAGTGATAGTGGAACGAGTGATGATGCTAACGATTCTAATGGTGGCGGTAGCGAAGATGTTAGTAATGGTGGCAGCAGTAGTGAAATCTTAGGCAACAAGTTGCCAATTTCATGGTTCGCCACATCTCAGCATACGGGGAATTGGCAAATGAAAAGTAGCGCCAATGCACCCAAACATACAAACGCTCAAGCGTTAACAAAAAACTTGTATAATTCTAATTCTATGTCTGAGGAAGAAACACAAAATGGCCAAGATGGTGATGGTGTTGACGACACTGGAAAGAAGGAATCTCTTGAAGTAAAAGAAAATGTTGATAATATACCATCAAATGGTTTTTATAAGGCAACAAAAAATGGCTTTAAGCTAAAACAACAACAACGACAACAACAACATGATACAAATTACAGCAATAAATGGCATTATGTAGATAATGTAGCTACATCCTCCTCTTCCTCGTCCTCCTCAGCTACTAAGAAAAAACGCAGAAAATCAGCCGAGATTGAAACTACAACAAACATCTGTTCATCGGAAAATAAATGGCAGGGTAGAACAAAAAGCAATACTAATGCTGCTGGCGGCATTAGTACTGAATCCCTGGGTTTATGGTTGGTAAACGAGCTTTGCGAGCAAGACGATACCATTGAGTTTAGGTAAGTACTACTACTGTAGTTTTAACATTTTTACAATAACAATACATGCAACACTACTCATTACACTTCAATACACACATACTTACACATTCAAATATTGAAACATTTAATGCTGCGTCGCTTTGTCCACAACATGTACAATTCCAATTTGTCTTCAATTAGTTTGAAATTTGAAATTAATATTAATTGTGCATTGGACAGTTATTTGAGAGTGAATGAGTGGGTGTGTGTGCGTGAGTGTTTCTTAAATGCTACAGCAGTTTTTCTGATTTGAAGTCATCATTATACAATTAATTTTGTATTGTTTAGTAGTTTCTTTTAAATATGATTTTCTTCTACTTTTAAATGAGTAATTTTGTTGATATTCTGCTGAAAAAAAGCGAAAAAGTTTAAAAAGTAATTGATATAAAAGGTGAAATAAATTTAAATTTATGGACGGATTTTGCTTATTTTAAATAGGAAACTTCACGAAAGCATATCTGATCGAATTATTGAGAGGGGTCTTCAGAAAGCTGATTTGAATAGACACACAGACTGAGATACAGACAGACGGAGAGACAGACAGACATAGTCAGTCGCAGACAGACACAGACAGACACAGACAGACACGGACAGACTCAGACAGACACAGACACAGACAGACAGACACAGACAGACACAGACAGACACAGACAGACACAGACAGACACAGACAGACACAGACAGACACAGACAGACACAGACAGACACAGACAGACACAGACAGACACAGACAGACACAGACAGACACAGACAGACACAGACAGACACAGACAGACACAGACAGACACTGACAGACACTGACAGATACAGACAGACACAGACAGACACAGACAGACACAGTCAGACACAGACAGACACAGACAGACACAGACAGACACAGACAGACACAGGCAGACACAGACAGACGGACAAATGGAAATGGCTTAATCGACTCCGCTATCTATAAGGATCCAGAATATTCATATATACTTTGTGGGGTCAGAAAATTATATTGTTGAAATTACAAACGGAATGACAAACTTATATAAAAGTATAACAATAAAATTGAACTGTTTTCGATTCCATAATGATTAATTGGGTCAAATTTATCTAAACAATGGCACCAAAACCTGTCCGTCATATTTCATTCATTTGGCTTCATATAAAAGTTTCTGAATTAATGTGATTGGTCAATATCTTCAACATCCGTTACTCTTCTACATGCCTTTCTCAGTGAATTAAGATACATATGTTCTCGCACTTGAATCTCAACTGTTATGTACTACAAACAGAGTTCCAAAAAAGGGCCCAAAATAATTAGCTTTCAGAGGATAGGTGACTATACTCGCAGACTCATATAAGGACTCTATCGGAAATCAATAACAATACTATCTCCCAGGAAAGAATTTCGTAGGAGATAGATAGTTTCTTCCCATTTTAAGTTACCAGGACTTGATGGTGCTTTGGCAAAGATGTTAAAAAGTTCAAATGAATAATCATCATGATTGACACATGTTCTGATAAACTGAAGAAATGTCAAAGTCGTTTTTATCCCCAAAGCTGTGGCAAAAGAAGTTATGATATCCCCGAGGACTTTCGTTCAATTAGCCGCTTATCCTTTCAACTCTATATATAGGAAAGTCTCATCTACTAGAATATTAGGCAATGACTTGACGGCTCATTACGAATACCACAACACTCCAATCTTTAAGGCCAATCTACAGAGTCAGATCTATATAAAATTGTCCGAGTTATAGAAAGATCACTTGAATTTAAACAATTCTCTTCAATAATGAAACAACATCGACAATTCAACAAGCTCTTACAAATCTGGATGTCGAGGAGTATATGAGCAACTTCTTAAGATATTTGGTTTTAAATAGGGAACTAGTCCCAACATCTGTCAAGGCTGCTCTGGTATGAAATAGGGACTTATTTTTGGGTGCCCCGGTAGGCTAGTTGGTAGTGTGCTAGACTGTCAGTACTAGGGTTGTGGGTTCGATTCCCAACAGAGACTCTGATCTGCTACACTTTAACGGGCGTCATCGTCACCCTGCTCGGTACATCAGGTTAGAATATAATTTGTAGTTGTATTGTAATCGAAAAATATATAAATGGACTTAATCCCAACATCTGTCAAGGCTGCTCTAAATATCTCCAACATCAATTTAGTAGTAACTGCGTTCGTTGTTACCAATCTGGATGTCGTGGTGTATATGAGCAACTGCTTAAGATATTTGGTATTAAATAGGGACCTAGTCCCAACATATGTCAAGGCTGCTCTGGATATCTACAACATCGTTTCAGTAGCAACTGCGTTAGGGTTTTTTAAAATGGTTCTTTCTACAAAAGGCTTAGAATAGAAGGACTAATCTGGGTCAAAACTTATTGACCTCCTGAGATTTCTTACTGCTACAGGCATGATTTAATACTAACAATACTACATCTGATTGGTGTTGTTCTATCAAAATGGAGTCCCTTCGACTTAACTTGACTGTTCGTAGAAACATACTCGATCACTTTTCACTTATAATTTTTTCCTAAAGTACCTTCTTAAACATATAAAGATGACATTGATATCAGCTGAAAAATTGAGAAGCTAAACCCTCAAACGTTTGAAATCCAATATACATACATTCCAGTCTTAATATGATGGGAAACATACTCGATCAGTTTTCTCTTATAACAAAGTTTACGAGAGTTTACATTAGGAGAATCCTTTTGACCTGGTCAATCTTTCAACAAAAACGAATATTTGACCATTAGAATGGACTTCTGGAATTTAGGCAAAAATGTTTGGACCATGATTCGACAATCTTGTATATTGAAATTTAATGACAAATAATTCTTATGTTTGGAGGAATCATATGAGCTGATCCGTTTTTCACTAGAAATTTTGAAGGAAAGTCGGGGATAATAAATGTTTGTCCAGTCTAAACAAGTATTGTTTACAGACAGTCCAATTGTATTTAGAACCATGTAAAAGCCTCATGTGTATAACTCTGACGTTAGATTAGTATTGTCCTCCATCTATGTATCTCAAAATTTAAAAGATCAGAGAACTACGTACAGCATCATGATGATTTCTTTCGACTTGATTACCTGGCCTCTTTCCTCATAAGATGTAGAGTTAAAATGTTAGGCCTAGAACACCAACTTTGATGCCACAGTCTCATGAAAAGTAATCACTATAACTGCTTTCATAAGCAAAATGTTTTAATGCTTATGATCGGCTAGACTTTTCTTCTTTTTTATTCCTTTAGCTTTGTAGCATCCAATATCTGTTCTCCATATTACGTCTTTCTCCTAAGATATTTAGGAAATTTCATAATAAAGGTTTATTGACTCCTTCTTTGTAAGATTAAAGCAATCTCATTACTCATTCCAAAAGACTTTGAAAATATCCTTTCCACGAAAAAACAATTTACATTTTACAAAGATTTTACATTTTTGATTTATTCTAAAAACTTTTTTAAAGCAAAATAAAAAAAATCTTTAACAACTTTTTTTAACTCACCTCTCTTTCTAGTCTAGTTTCAAATTGTTTCTAACTAAGTTTTTCTATCCATTTTTTTCTCAATTTCAGAGTGTTTTTTCGCTTGAAATTCAAAACGAACAACTTGCGTAGCAACAGTAACAACAGCTCGTATTCCAGTAATAATGTCTGGTTAAATGCTAGTGGCAATATGGGTCATCGTAGTGCCAGTGCAACAAATGTCGATGAAGCACAAAAAATAGTGGTATATAGAAAACTTTTCAATTTCAAATACGCAAAGGTAAGTGCAAATCTGTGTAGTTGTCAAAAATAACAACAACAACAAACAAAAAAAGATGAATGGTTATGAGGAGCAATTTGTTAAAGGAGATATTTTAAAGCTTATACAGGGTATACCATGGTTATTGGGACTTTTAATAAAACAACAACTTTTCTATTTCTTTCATTAGACTGCCATTTAATATTACGTGAAACTTCTATGGGTACTTTGGACTATACCATTCTGCCTTTATACTGCATAGATTGTACAGTACATTTTCCCTCCTATAAACATCTCAACAATAAAAACGAGGCCTCTGAACTCAATCAACCACCTCCGGGCATGCTCGTAGAGCTACAACGTCTCAATGTACCCTGTGCCAGTGGTGGTTATGTACGCTTTAGCGATCATAAGGTATTATGTGGCAAACTCGAAGAATTAGAGGCCACCGATCGTGTCTATCATTTTAATGTTGAGGATGACGAGGCCTCCGTGCAATTCTATAGGAATCCTATGTTTAGCTTAAGTTATAAATTAGTCGATTATTGTTATAATGTAAATACAAGTAATGGAAGTGGTGAATTTTATATACGACCAAGTATGAAAGACACTTTGGAGTGTTACTTTCGTATACATCTGCCATATGGGAATCGTGTACTGCTGCGTATGGTGACCAATAATGACAGCGATATCTTACCCATGCCGACCTTGATGTCGGATGTTGGTGTAGGCGATGCTGTACAGGAGGAGGAATTGTATACGATCTTTACGAGTCAGGGGGCTACAGTAGATGCACAAGTGATAAATTTAACTGTAAATAGTGGTAATAATTTTGGTGCTTATTCTTCGTTTTCGTCGTCATTAATGCCATTTTATAAACTGCCTGATATGAATGCAACAAATAATCGTAAGTTAATGGGAGAACATAAGGCCTTCGCTAGTCTAGGCTTGGATTCCTTTGGATTTTTGGCAGCCACTAAGGCCAATCTGCAAATGGCCTTTTCGGGCACGGCCAATTGTGTGGGTGTGGTGATAAAGGTCTTTGAAAATGATCATTCCAAGTGGTCACATTGTGTCAATAATACCAAACATATGCGTGGTTTTATCTTGGAATCCTCTAGTAATACCCTAAGTGTACATCTTTTTCGTGCTGGCTCGTCTACTAAGGAGCATAACAGAGAAGAACGTAGAACGTCATCAGCTCAGCAAATAAGTAGACCTTTAATGCCCGCTATTTATTTGTCTTATCAAGCACGACCTTTAACTAATATTGTCTCAAATTGTGCCTTCGGTTGGATTGCTATGGAGCAATTTTGCATAGCAGCCATTGAACTGTCCATGAATTGGCATGAGGCCGAGAAACACTGCTCCAAATTGGGAGGTCACTTAGTATCGGTGCGCAATGAGCAACAGCAGCAGACCATCAATGAATTGTTGCTTAATAGTCCCGGTTACACCGATCAAAATGCCTATTGGGTGGGTGGTTCGGATAAAAGTTATGAGGGTGACTTTCGTTGGAGTGATGGTTTGACATTTCAATATACCAGTAAGTATGATACTATAAGTTTTCCTTTGATTTTACAAGTTATTTTGAAAATCAAATATATAGATTGGTTTCCGGGCTGGTCACAACATGGTCATTACAATAAACAACCCAACGATGATGGTCTTAGTAGTCAGGATTGTATAGAGCTCAGACGTTACTTTCGCACACCACCCGGTGTGCAAAGCAGTCGTAGTCCTTTAACCAACAAATACATGTGGAACGATAGAGACTGTAGTGCCAATAACTTTCTAATCTGTGAAAGAGCCATGAGTGATGGTAAGTCGGAACAAAGATCATTTGGAAATCATAGCGCTTCTCTTTGAAAACGAAAAATTTCACACAAGTGGGGAAATAAATGCGGTCGTAACAGTTGGTCCATTATAAAAGTTTTCTATTGTCGAGAATGAGTCCCCTAAGCCGTCGCTATTTTGATAATTAAATAATAAATTTAATAAATTTTTAGTTTCTTATTCGATTTAAACAATTTTACTATATATGAATGCCCTATGGGACTGCTGCAGTTGCCTCTAGGCCTAGAGATCTGAAATTTTATTGAAGTTGGACTAACTGTTTCGAAGTTGTAGCTTTATTTCCCTTTCTTGAAATGAAATCTTCTGAAATGAAATCTTAAACTATATTTTCCTTTAAAGATTCCTTGAGACGCAATTGGATCAACGATTGCAATAAAACAGTATCATTGACTAAAGAACATCCAAGAGCTTCCATCTGGAGTCCCTCATTTCCCCGCCAATATCCCGACAATGCAAATTGTTTTACAACAATTACAGCACCAGCGGGTTATCGTATAGTCATCGAATTTGAAGAACTTGTCATAGAAAATGAACAAGGGTAAGTTGTGTCCAACCCAACCTAACATACATAAAACAAATTAAAATTATCCCCTAAACATGTTTGTCTCTCTTCAACAGTTGTACTTATGATTATCTAGAGATTACCGAACCCAAACTCTCAGAATCTCTTAGATCGTCTACAAAATCGACATCTTCCAAATATCGTTATGCCCCAAGTATCGATAGCAATATACAGAACAGTCTTAATCTTAATCTCAAATTTAACTACAATAATCCTAATTTAAGAACGTTTCGTAAGCGCAGCTCTTATGATTCTACAACATCATCAGCAAATAGTTTAAGATATCTGCCCAACTCGGCAATGACGGCTGATCATGTCTATGCACCACAAATACTGACTACAACGGTTACGATTTGGCTCAAAATAACTATCAAAAACTATTACAAATCTATTCCAGTCTTTATAGTCCACGTAATAATTTCATTATACAAACTCCCGATTATCCCAAAGGAAATCCATATTTGCAGCATCCCTCCACCACTTCGAATAGTCATAATCATCATAGCAGTAACAATAACAACAACAATAATAATAATAATAAAGCTAATCAAGAAGTTTTACCCAAACGTTTATGTGGCGATTGGAGTACCAAACTAAAATTGTTGCGTTATGTTTCCACTGGCTCCTATTTGGGTTTACATTTTGTTTCCGATTACTCTCATCATTTTGGCGGTTATAAGGCTAAAACTTATATGGAAAATAGTGAGTATTTGAAAATTTTGTTCACATTGAATATTTTGGATTTTTTTTTTATAAAATCACTACCAGATTTTATAGTTTTTTCTATACATTTCTTAAACTTTAAAACATTTTTCATTCATAAATGTGTGTGAGTGTGTGTCTATTACAGTTATCGTCTATATATCAGAAAAATATTTTATTACATCTATATTATTTCGATTACTATTCAAATACTTAACATTCTTCTATACCTCATTTCTTAATTTGTAATTAAATATCATTTTTTTTTTAAATACTTATTTTTAATTTTCGCTGTAAATATTGCGACAAATTTTTTATTTTTAAATTCGAACTAAGATCAGTCCAAATTAACCATAGTAACAGAACTCTTCTATAAAACTTTCTCTAAAAGGAGATTTTTACAGAAACTTTGCAATAAAAAGAGAATTTTCACGTAAAATTTTCTACAAAGAGAGAATTTTCAGGAAAATTGTTCTATAAAAAGAGAATTTTCAGGAAAATGTTCTATAAACAGAGAATTTTAACGAAATTTTTTTATAAAAAGAGAATTTCAACGAAAATGTTCACTGAAAAGGGAATTTTCACAAAATTGTTCTGTAAAAAGAGAATATTGAAGAAAACGTGCTATAAAAGATAATTTTTACGAAAATGTTCTCTAAAAGGAGAATTTTCACTAAAATGTTCTATTAAAAGAGAATTTTATACGAAAATGTTCTACAAAATGAGAATATTCACGAAAATCTACTCTTTACTATAAAAAGACAATCTTCATGACAATTTTCTAAACAAAGATAATTTTCACAATAATTTTCCATATCGAACTGAGAATTTCTCGAAATTTTTCTATAAAAATAAAATTTTCTCAAAAGCTTTTATAGAACTTTCTGGAAAGTTTTCTTATAGTTAGTTAGTTAGTTAGTTAGTTAGTTAGTTAGTTAGTTAGTTAGTTAGCTAGTTAGTTAGTTAGTTAGTAGTTAGTTAGTTAGTTAGTTAGTTAGTTAGTTAGTTAGTTAGTTAGTTAGTTAGTTAGTTAGTTAGTTAGTTAGTTAGTTAGTTAGTTAGTTGTTAGTTAGTTAGTTAGTTAGTTAGTTAGTTAGTTAGTTAGTTAGTTAGTTAGTTAGTTAGTTAGTTAGTAAGTTAGTTAGTTAGTCGTTAGTTAGTTAGTTAGTTAGTTAGTTAGTTAGTTAGTTAGTTAGTTAGTTAGTTAGTTAGTTAGTTAGTAGTTAGTTAGTTAGTTAGTTAGTTAGTTAGTAGTTAGTTAGTAGTTAGTTAGTTAGTTAGTTAGTTAGTTAGTAGTTAGTTAGTTAGTTAGTTAGTTAGTTAGTTAGTTAGTTAGTTAGTTAGTTAGTTAGTTAGTTAGTTAGTTAGTTAGTTAGTTAGTAGTTAGTTAGTTAGTTAGTTAGTTAGTTAGTAGTTAGTTAGTTAGTTAGTAGTTAGTTAGTTTAGTTAGTTAGTTAGTTAGTTAGTTAGTTAGTTAGTTAGTTAGTAGTTAGTAGTTAGTTAGTTAGTTAGTTAGTTAGTTAGTTAGTTAGTAGTTAGTTAGTTAGTTAGTTAGTTAGTTAGTTAGTTAGTTAGTTAGTTAGTTAGTTAGTTAGTTAGTTAGTTAGTTAGTTGTAGTTAGTTAGTAGTTAGTTAGTTAGTTAGTTAGTTAGTTAGTTAGTTAGTTAGTAGTTAGTTAGTTAGTTAGTTAGTTAGTAGTTAGTTAGTTAGTTAGTTAGTTAGTTAGTTAGTTAGTTAGTTAGTTAGTTAGTTAGTAGTTAGTTAGTTAGTTAGTTAGTTAGTTAGTTAGTTAGTTAGTTAGTTAGTTAGTTAGTTAGTTAGTTAGTTAGTTAGTTAGTTAGTTAGTTAGTTAGTTAGTTAGTTAGTTAGTTAGTTAGTTAGTAGTTAGTTAGTAGTTAGTTAGTTAGTTAGTTAGTTAGTTAGTTAGTAGTTAGTTAGTTAGTTAGTAGTTAGTTAGTTAGTTAGTTAGTTAGTTAGTTAGTTAGTAGTTAGTTAGTTAGTAGTTAGTTAGTAGTAGTTAGTTAGTTAGTTAGTTAGTTAGTTAGTTAGTAGTTAGTTAGTTAGTTAGTTAGTTAGTTGGAATTTTGTTATCGAAATTTATCGATTTAAGTTCATTCATGTGAGCCATGCAAGGTATCTTGGGTCATGTATAGATCGATTGATTAAAAAATGTATTACTAAAAGGTTTTTGCCAATATTTTTGTGCTTAAACAATATCAGTAAAATCATATAGCAATAGTTTATCATAAACCAAATACCTAGTCTACAGCTCTTTGGAATTATGTAATATTCCTCGACCTTAACAAGTTCAATATTAGTTGTGTTTTGTGCTAACGTTCAAAGGCAATTTCATATAAATTTAAAATTTATAAACGTTAGGAGTTAACGCGTAAAATTATACAAGTTAATTTTAACGTCGATAAAAGTGCTACCAATTCAAAAATAAAAATACAAATATTAATGTGTTATGTCAAACAATAAAAAATATTTTAAAATAAAATTTAAATCAAAAAAATATCAAATAAAAAAGCCTTTTTTAAGAAAATGTAAATAATTTCAAGATTTAGCAGATTTCTTCTGTGGAGTGATGCCAAGTCAGGTAATGTTCGTTTTGTTGCTAACTTTAAGCGTTAACACTCATTGATAGCAACAAAACACAACTATTGTAACATATTGCTCCCAATTATAGAGAGTATTATCCTAATATCTCAGTTTTTGGCAATATTATCCTAATATCTCAGAGTTTGAATTTGTTATAAAATATTCATTTGGAAAACCTTGTTTCAACCTAAAATATAAAATATCACTTTCATATCAAAATATGTAAATGAAGTTTAAAATTAAATGTTGACATTTCACCTAAAGGTTTCCTCTTTTTGGTCCATATACAGAAAATAAATACACTTTATAGGCATTTACTTAATTATTTATTTTACAATTTAATTACTTTTCATTTGTATGCATAAAGTAATAAATAAACATTTTTATCTTTCCCTTATATTATATCATAAATACATACTTATACATATATACATATATTTTTATCACAATTCTGCATCAGTAATTTTCATTACGTAGAGTAACTGGGCACAAATCACTTTTCACTCTTTCATAACATGTATTGTGTATAAAATAAATTGAAAAAAAATAAAAGAATAATAAACATTAAACATTACTTTTATTAATATTTATTTACATATTCATGCATTGATTCATTCATACAATTTATAAATACTACAGACATACATAAATATTTATTATCTTTACATTATATAATATGTATTTAAATTTATTACTATTTAATTATATGCAAATAAAAAAAAATCAAACAAACCAAAAAAAACAATTTAAACAAATAAACTGCACCTGCTGAATAATGAAATAAAAACGTATGTATATGTAAATATCTAAAAAAACAAAACGTTTAAAATCTGTGACAAACAAAAAATCAACCTGCCTCTACTCCCCTCAACAAAATTAATAAACGTGCAACAAATTAAACAAAAACACGCAAAATTAACTAAAAAACTTCAAAATTAAATGCAAAATTTAAAAACAAAAAATAATGTAAAATATTTATAATTGTTTATAAAAATTCGTTTTATAATTGTTACTACTACTCTACCTACTACTACTATTTTGTATTACTACTTAATTTCTACTACTACTACTACTCTGCTACTACTATTTACTACTTCCGCTTTTAATTAAAACCTCAAAATTGCAACTATAAAATCTATCCAGGAAGTCATTCGTTTAGTGGTAAGTTGCATTCGTAACGTATGATTTCTGTTCATTTCAATTGCGTTCCATTAGTTAATATATATTTATTTATTGTTGTTATTTGTTACACTTTTAATTAAATTTTTTGTTTTTCAAATTTGCTGTTGGTGTATGTGAGTGTGTGTGTGTGGCTGTGTTTTATTCATTTTAGTTTAGTGTTTTTTTTTTAATTCCTTGAAAACTTGTTTATATTAGTTTTATAAATTATTTTAAAAATTTTGTTGCAATTTTATACTCTAGAGGCAATACAAAAAGGATACAGTAGGTATCTGGCTATTTAATAAATAAACAAATATAAATTATGCTTAACTAACATAGATACAACACAATAATAAAGCTTTTAACATTTTATAAATTAAGATATTTTATTTTAAATTTTTTATTTGTTTTTATTTAAAAGAAACAACATAATATAGGAAATATAGAGAGTAATAAAGAATAATAATAAAAAATATTAAAAAATAATTTAAAGAGAAAAATTTCCAAAAACTTTCTATAAAAATAAAGAAATTTTCCAAAAAAATTGTATAAAAATAAAGAAATTTTCACGAAAATTTTCTATAAAAATAGAGAAATTCTACCGAAAATTTTTTATAAAAATAGAGAAATTTTCCCCCGAAAATTTTCTATAAAAATAGAGAAATTTTCCTGAAAATTTTCTATTAAAATAGAGAAATTTTTTATAAAAATAGAGAAATTTACCCGAAAATTTTCTATAAAATAAAGAAATTTACCCGAAAATTTTCTATAAAAATAGAGAAATTTACCCGAAAATTTTCTATAAAATAGAGAAATTTACCCGAAAATTTTCTATAAAATAGAGAAATTTTCCCGAAAATTTTCTATAAAAATAGAGAAATTTTCCCGAAAATTTTCTATAAAAATAGAGAAATTTTCCCCGAAAATTTTCTATAAAAATAAAGAAATTTTCCCCGAAAATTTTCTATAAAAATAGAGAAATTTTCCCCAAAAATTTCTATAAAAATAGAGAAAATTTCCTGAAAAGTTTCTATAAAAATAGAGAAATTTTCATGAAAATTCTCTATAAAAATAGAGAAATTTTCCTGAAAATTTTCTATAAAAATTGAGAAATTATCCTGAAAATTTTCTATAAAAATAGAGAAATTTTCCTGAGAATTCTCTATAAAATTGGAGAAATTTTCCTGAAAATTGGAGAAATTTTCCTAAAAATTCTCTATAAAATTGGAGAAATTTTCCCCGAAAATTTTCTATAAAAATAGAGAAATTTTCCCCGAAAATTTTCTATAAAAATAGAGAAATTTTTCCCGAAATTTTTCTATAAAAATAGAGAAATTTTCCCCCGAAAATTTTCTATAAAAATAGAGAAATTTTCCCCGAAAATTTTCTATAAAAATTAATAAAAATTAATTTTCCCCGAAAATTTTCTATAAAAATAGAGAAATTTTCCCCGAAAATTTTCTATAAAAATAGAGAAATTTTCCCCGAAAATTTTCTATAAAAATAGAGAAATTTTCCCCGAAAATTTTCTATAAAAATAGAGAAATTTCCCCGAAAATTTTCTATAAAAATAGAGAAATTTTCCCCGAAAATTTTCTATAAAAATAGAGAAATTTTCCCCGAAAATTTTCTATAAAAATAGAGACATTTTCCCCGAAATTTTTCTATAAAAAGAAGAGAAATTTTCCGAAAATTTTCCTATAAAAATAGAGAAATTTTCCCGAAAATTTTCTATAAAAATAGAGAAAATTTTCTAAAAAAATTAGAGAATATTTCCCGAATACTTGATCACCAGTCTGATGACATGAATATTAACTACTAATCTACTAATTTGGTTGCGCATTCATATTATTAAGAGAGAAATGTTCTAAAATTTTCTAATGTGCGGAGAATTCATTGCAATTATTCAACCTAATGTCCCATAGTATTCCATGTGTTCACATTATCAGTTTTTAAACGCAAATACATACTTTTACAAATAGTTTATTACTTGCCGCATAATACGTTCAGTATTTTTATGGACAATGAACAAATAACCTGCAACAATTTTTTATACGCATTTCATGTACTGATTTATATATTACTTTTTCATTAAACTAAAATAAAACTGTGGTTTTTAGTAAAAAGTGCATACAAGTGCATACATAAATTAAATTGTTAAACTTATAAAAGAATTTAACAATTCAACCAAACATTATGTGTGGGTTTTAATTAAGTAAATCAAATTTACAATTATTATATTAGAATATAATTTTATAATAAGTTAACTAAAATTATGATAAAACAAAATTTAATCGTTTAATGTGAAACGTCTGAAGGCGTATGGTGTATATTTTTATATGAGGAAGTTAAACAATAGTAATCATACGCCTAGAAGAGTTTAATTAAATAAATATCCCAAACTTGGTCATAAAATGAGTGGAATCCAACATAAAACAAGTAAAAAAGTATAATCGGGCGTGGTCGACCATATGATACCCTACACCAGTTATGAGTATATCTTAAATGTGTATGATTTTTAGTCATAATGCATTAATGTTGAATTTTTCCTTAATTTCGATATATTTTTGATGAAAAAATGATTTTCTGATGGAAGCTATTATATAGGAGCTAGAGTCTAGGAGGCTATTTGGAGGGATTTTTGTTGACATTAAAGTAAATTATACTGAATTTCATTGAAATACAGGTGTTTATAAGGGAATTTACGACGTTCAAGCATTTTAGAGGGGGACTTTGGAAGAGGGCTAGGGTTAAATGAGGGCCCCTCATTAAGAAATTTCGCAGTTTCATTTATGCTGGTATAAAATGTAGTTGTGCCTATTTTTGTACAGATATTTGTATATTTGGCATAATTATGAGCTCAAATTACAATTTAGGGGGTACGGTTATATGGGGGCTAGGTGAAATAATGTACCGATATCAATCAAAATCAATAAGATTCGTACTTGGGTCATAAGTAATATGTGTAACAAATTTCATCGAATTGTGTTCAAAATTGCGACCTGTAATTTGATAACAAGGTTTACATAGACAGACAGACAGACAGACAGACAGACAGACAGACAGACAGTGTTGGGGTTGTTTTTTTTTTTTTTTTCAAACACATAGTCCCAAAACATTTCCTTTTTATTTCATACTTGTAAATGTTTTGGTTTGTTGTAGTAGCCTTTACTTGTTCAAAATTTGAAATTCAAAATTTTTTTTCAATTTAGTTAGCATGAATTTTGTAAATAATATTTGAAATTATATTTTAGGTAAATGGTATTGAAAGTTTGAAATTTCATATTAAACTTGTTTTAAATTTAAAAATTTTGTTTTTATTTATTGAGTTACCTTAGTTTTTGGAAATATTAAATGAGAAAATTTTTGTAGGTAAATTGTTGTTTTTATTTTGAAAATTTGAAATTTGTTTAAGAAAACTTGTTTAGGAAAAATTTTTATATCATGTAGGCCAATATTATTGGAAAATTGTTTTTGATAATTTTTGAAGTTTTTTAGAAAATTTTTCATTATTGTATAGAAATTCAAATTGTGCGGTTGAAAAATAAAAATTAAAACTGAAACGGATAATAAAATAAATAGTAAAATTTAAAAAAAAAAATAAAGGAAAAATTCAAAAGGATTACGCAAGAATATTAACTAAAAGGATATGATTTTATACAAAGGATAATCAATGGAAATTGAAATAAAAGCATGATTCAAAGAAAAGATATAAAAAATGTGAAAGTTTAATATAGAGCATAAACATACAAATTCAAATAAAATTAAAAGCAAAATAATATTAACGATTTAAAACACAAAATTTTAAATATTTTGTATTAAAAGGAAATTTATAAAAAAAAAAAAAATATTAAATGAAATAAAAACTTAAAACTTTGAATAAAAGAAATAAAAAAAAAATAAAAACTTAAAATTGTGAAGATTTTTAAATAGTTTTTTTTTAATAAGCAAAAAAAGAATATATCATTGACAACTAAAAACTTCAACTATTTTAAATTAAATGAAACTAAAAATTTTAATAGTGTTTGAAATAAACAATGACAAATAAAACCTCAACTGTTAAAATTTAAAAAAAAAAAAAAAAAAGAAGAAAAAAAAAAAGTTGATAATTTTTGAAAATTAATGTTATGAAAATAGACATATTTTAAAATAAGAAGAAAAAAAATACTAATGAAATGCTGAAATCTAAACCATTCGGATAAAATCAGTGCAATGAATAGTCAAGATTCTTTGAGTTTTAATGGATGGAGTAATTTGAATGAAATAATAATAAAATATTTAATTATTGTTTTTTATTAAATTGATATATAATTTAAATTTCATTTTGATTTGTTGTGTTTTTTTTTTATATTTAATTTTAAATTAATTCTGTTTTTGTAAAATTTTGAGAATATATTATTTTGAATATGCTGCTGATATGTACATATCGAGGGGTATAATATGTAAGTTGTTTTTGTTATATAATATTATTTTTATTTTAAAATATTGATTTGTTTCTTTGTTGTTAAAAATTTATTCATGGCAATAACATTGAACATTTCAATTTATTTAAATATTATATTATTATTTGTTTTTAATTTTCAATTTAATAAATGTTGAAATTATTTGAATTTAAGGAAAATTTGATTAAAATGATGTACTAATTTTTATAAATTTTTGAGTTGTGGATGATTGAGGTAAGAGATGGTAAATTGTGGTAAATTTGTTTTCATTAAAAGGGAAAATTGAACATCACTGATTAGAACCCAATAATTGTTTAGTCATGAATCAGTGACGTTACAAATGGCGCCCAACGGGAACAAAATATTTTGATTTTAAAGTAACTTAAATGTCAGACGTGTTTGATTGATAATTGTACAATTGGAATTAAAATATTTTGAAGGATTAGTTAAGCTATATCCTATGGCATGTTTTTCGTATCATAGTTGTGTAGTTTAATTAATGGTATAGAATTCAGGATCCATTATCCTATATATATATTTGTATATATATTAGATGTAATGTACTTGAGATTTAATAGTGAATTAAATATTTGTTTGAATT